CTATTTTGTGTCCTACTTAAGACATTGTTTTTAACCCTAAAGCTGTGAAGATATCTTCCTTGACTTCTACGGTGCTAAACGTCAAATAGTGGCTGGGCACAGTGGCTCATGCCTGTACTCCTAGCACTGGGAGACCAAGAGGGAAGAGTTGCTTGAGCTCAAGAGTTCAAGACCAACTGAGCAAAAGTGAAACCCAGTCTCTACTAAAAATAGAAAAATAGATGGTGTTCTGACAAGCATCTACAGTCCCAGCTACTCAGGAGACTGAGGCAGAAGGATTGCTTGAGCCCAGGACTGTGAGGTTGAGCTAGACTGATATTACCACAGTCTACCCAGGGCAACAGAGCGAGTGTTCTAATTCCTGATCGTCACAGTGGTTGCACCTGTGTGTTTACTTTTTAAATACTCCTTGTACTGTATACTTAACTACTTGTCACTGTGCATGTGTGTTATGCTGCCATTAAAGTTCCTGAGAGTGAAAGAAACAGGTGAGAGAGCGAGAGTGTGTAAAAAGAAGCCACTGATTGAAGAGGTACAAGATGATGACACAAAAATACTTTGAAAGATTAGAGGAAAAATTTGTCAACACAATATGTAACATCATAAGTTCTCGGTCTACACTACGTACAAGCCAACGTTTTAGTAAATATATTTTAATAAACTGCATTTTAGTAAGTATATTTTAAGACCAGAAGCACTAACATTAATGTTAGTTAGTAATATAATATTGAAAATAAACAATGCTGAGCATAAAATAAAGTGATATTAGTGACACAGAAAAAGTTAAGCAAGCTCAGAGCCTAAAGAGAAGCAGTTGGTTTCTCTAAATATTTAACTTTACAAATTCTTTATTAAATTGAGAATGCTATTCTAATCGCTGTAATTTGATCATTACACTTATATACACGTATTGAAATAGTACACTCTACCCCATAAATATGTGTAATTATTATGTGCCAATTAAAAATAACAACAAAAAACCCGTAAAATGTTGCTAGCTGATATGTGGCAAGTTGACTTCTGACTCCCACCCTCTAATGAGGGGCATGAGTAGCGTGGTCTCTATAAAATGACGGCTAATGACCTCTGAGGTGGTGAGAAGTCTTTGAGACTATAGCAGAAATGGCACAAAAATAGGACATAGAGTCCAGTAGGGTCACTATCCAAGGCAGAAACCGAATCTAGATACCTAGCAGAAGCACAGTTAATACTAAACACTGACCCAGGACACAGCCAGGTTCTAAGGGGTTAACCACACAGGAGGTGCAGTCAAAGCAGGAATGAAGGTCGTGTCAGGAGTTGCCCCTTCTATGGATACGAATGCCAAGACATGACCAATGCAAACAAGGGTCTGCCAAGGTCCTCAGCAAGTATCTTTGAGGAGAAAGCCAACAACAGCCTGTCCACGGGTAGCAGGTGTGCAACTGTGAGTTCCGCTGCCCTTAGCCAAGCAAGAATGCACACCTGACAGCTGGTTCTGGCAACCAGGCACTGAGAGGCACCGAACTTGGAGACACTCACTGAGAGGCACGCAGAGTGTGCAGGTGTGAACTCAGGTGCTTTCCCCTGTGTCCTCTGATGCCTGCCCGCTAAATGACCCCCTGTCCTTTTCTTATCCTCCATCCTTGATGAGGAGATGATTTCTAGACAGCAAATGCAAACAGTTGGATAAATAAGAAATCTTCTTTAGAGCTGGAGGCAGAGTGAACATGTAAATAGGGCCTGAAGAAGGAAGCTAAGAAAACAAAGGTAATCAAAAAGAAGGCGTAAAGAAAGCAACCTCAGGTCTTCCTGGGTGGCATGGCAGGGAGGAGGGGAGAAAGTCCACAATCTGGACAATCTGCAGATAGATAACAGAGAATTCAAGCCCAAGCACAGGAGTTTGCCTTTCTAATTAGCTCAGGCACCGTCGTGTTTACAGTGCTCACCACGTCTAATATCCAAACCTCAGAGTCACAAATGCTATAACTCATCACATCTGTGATGCAAAATCATCTTTACTAACATTAAACATGTTTAAGCACAACAATTTATAACAGCACTTTAAGACTTTAATGAAACGCAAGCATTTGGCACATGGTATTTACGGTAATCATAACACTACAAGATTTAAAGTATAATTTTTACAGTATTAGAACAGAAAGCCAAATTGTCCGTGGTTTTGGTTTAATTATTTGAAATACTTTGGGGGCGGGGGGGGAACTCAGCATCTAGAAATTAATTAATAGTTTTCCTCTGCACAGTTGTCAGTGTTATCACTGGTTACTGCTACCGGCTGCCAGCTCCTTTATACCCATGCTCTGGTGGCAATCAGCGAAGGCGATTAATGCTAACCACTTGTCCTAATGGCCAAATGCCAAATGTCATCCTACATGCAGGGTCATAATTATGTTTAGGAAGTGGATGAGTTTGGCATTGATAGCTGAGCATTAACTGCAAATTTGGAGGCCACTTGAACAAGTGCTTGCAGAACACCCTTCATGCCTCATCCTGGGGGATACCAGCCTATTCTTCAAGGATTAACAGTTTCATACAAAGCTAAGAGCCTTGAAATGCTTTCGTTAAAGGATCTAAGCCTTTCTTTGTTAAGCTGTAATGGTCCTTCTTTTCTGAGATCAAATTTACACACGTGCCAGCCCCACCTAAGTAGAATTCAGGTATAGGTATCCGCTGTTAACCACGTCTCATGCTTCACGGTCCTTCATGACACATGTTTATTTGATAAGTCGGTGGACGGGTGCCTTCCTCTTATTTTACAAGCTCTCCCTGAGAGATGGCCGGGACGTCCCATGGGCCTTCCGTGTTCCCACGCCTGGGACATACTGCGGCCCAACAGGCAGTGATGCAGTAAGGTGAGCAATGCCACCAGGACTGCTGGCCACAGCCGCTGGGTAGGAAAACGTCCACGCACCATCCGATGCTTTGAAGAGTTCAGATTTCCAGCGTCTTCCAGTTTCAACACAATTATGATCACCAAGATAAGGGGAATGCGGAAAAACCCACAAATGAAAACTAAAGCCTATTTTTCCGGATAGAATGTGTAGAATGGGCGTGCTGGGATCCCACCTCCAGCTAGTGTACAGCACGGTCCTCGTGCGGGCCGTGTTCCCGTGGCCGAGACCTCCCACGCGCGCTCTGGGTTTCATGAACTGCCCTGGACGTCCTGGGCATGGTCTGTGTTCCACTGCCCGGGTCGTCCCGCGCGTTTCCCCTGTTCCCACGCTGGGGATGTCCCGCGCACGTTCAATGTTCCACTGCCCGGGACTCTGCGCGCTCATCCCGGGTTCCCACAACGGGGACGTCCTGCGTCGGTTCCCTGTTCCCACGCCCAGAACAACCTGCACGTTCTGTGTTCTAATGCCCTGCACGTCCTGCGCGCATACCATGTTCCCTCGCCCGGGAGGTACTGCTCTCGCTCGGTTTTCCACTGCCTGGGACGTCCCAGGCACGTTCTGTGTTGCGATGGCCGGGACGTCCCACGGGCTTTCCGTGTTCCCACGCCTGGGACAACCTGCACGTTCTGAGTTCTCATGCCCTGGACGTCCTGCGCGTGGTCGGTGTCTCCACACCCTGACGTCCTGTGCACATTCTGTGTTCTAATGGCAACTTGGCTTCAGTTCTTCCTCTCCTCGGTTCCCCTTGTTCTGAGTTATTTACTCAGTATCACTATTATAATTAACAATTATTACTCATCTAATTTAGTTCTGTTCATCTTGTAAGCTACTTAAATCTTCTTTAGAATAAGATAGGATATCATTATGTTTGAAAGAGGATATGCCCTAAATCCTTCGCTCAGAGCTTATTTACTCTTTTCTACATGCAATTTTAATAAACTCAGTCATCTGACGTGGCAACACACAGAAACTCAGAAGACCACAGCTGACGGAGCGGTTATGTCTTCTCGCTGTAGCAGAGCACATTAAGCCCACTTAATATGTTGAATGCAACAGTCAAGGAATAAGTAAATGCGTAGGTGAGCAGTGCCTCCGGGTTTAACAAGAAGGCAGAGATTATGTAAAAACACATACAGAAACAACAGCTTCACAGTCAGGGCCTGCTTGATATGGGTGTAACCTCTCTGTAGATTTCAAAAGCCTCTGGTAATTATAGAACTATAGTTCATATTGATAAGCGTGACTCTATTCCTTCAAGAGAAAGTCAGAGTATTGGGGGGAATCTTTTTTTCTTTTAAGAAGACAGGGATGTAATACTTTTCATTTGAAAATAATGAAGGTTCAAAATATAAAACTCAAAGAAGGGGTCATTTTCGGCTGTCTGGAAAATTTCCTTCTGTGCAATGCCCTGTTCCCTGGCCCATGCTCGATGCCTGGGGTGATGACAGATTGATACTGTGAATTCTCAGGTGAGAACAGCATCTCAGGAGAAGCAGTGTCGGTGGAGAATGCCTTCAGAACCAGGTTCTGACTCGCTCCATCCTGAGATGTGGTGGGGAGCAGTTTGAGCCAACCCAAGCACAGTGCTGACACCCTGTAAGTGCTGGTTACTAGAGGAAAGTGAAAGTTAACCGCAGGCATCTGGTTATTCACTCTCTTTCTCCAACAAGTGATTGCTCCTTGAGACCCCTACACTGAATGACTGACTGAGTGACAAACTTTGGTTTCTGCAACATTTCCTGGGCATATGCTTAGAGTTTGGAGACCAAGGATGCTTTGTAAATAGAAGATGTTGTATAAATGTTGCTATCATTTGAGACTTGACTCCCCTTGGTGGTGATATAAATCACCACCCTAGACTACAGCCACTGCAGACCCTAGATTGCCCCAGTGGTAACTCTGACCAGGCCATTTCCCACTTGAGCACAGGAAGCAGCACCAAACAGGGGGTACAGTTTAGGAGAAATGCCTGTTTGTTAACAGGGGACTGTTTTCCCCACCCAGTTAGAAAAAGGTGATCACAGCCAGCAGACTGAACTCCACATTTAACGTTTCTTAGTTATAGGGGGGCAGACGAAGACTGACTTACTCCTTTTCTGTTTACAGAATTATGCAAAACTTATTCCTGGAGCTACGGTAGGGCTGCTTCAGGAGGACTCTGGGAACATTCTCCAGCTGATCATCTCAGCTTATGAAGTAAGATATTTTACAGCCGGCTTCTTCTTTGCATTTCTTTGATATTCAAGGCCTAAGATGTGTTTTATGCAGTTAAAGTCATTCTCATTTGTCAGTAGAGATAGTGCTTATCCAAAAAAAACAAAAAGCAAAAAACAAACCTCTGTGTTAATGTAAACAAAATATGCATTTTGTTCACTTGTTTTATAGATCATCTTCCTGAAAGGTGGAGCAAAAGGTAGAAAACTCACAAACCCAATCATAAGATGGAAGTTGTTTTTATAATAATAACTAATAGCACCATTGTCACCAGCAAAATTTTAATTTGACTGAAAAGGCTCCATGAGTCATATAATTAAGCTCTCCTTTGTCTGAAAAAAAAATTAACTTTAAATTGCCAGCGAATAACAGACTGATATGGAGAGCGCACTCCACAGGCTTAATGAGACTAGATTATAACTCAAGTAAAAATACCACTTAGTGTTAAACATTAAATAGTATAAAACATTAATAGTACATGCAGAATACATTTTTTAGGTTCTCTACTTTTGGGAACCAGGGCAATTTTGCACTGCTCTTATAAGTTTATATATTTTCCTGACTTGGAGAATTAGCACCTAGGGACAAAATTCCTTCTCTAAGATAAGATACTTATGAGAGGGTTGCCACGTTCTCTTTGCCCCCAATTTTGTAACTAATTAGTCAGTGATGTATGGCCAGTTGTTGACTGTTTTTTTATTTTGGTTACTAAGTATCATCCCTCTTTTTTGCCTTGAAAGAGAAAAAAAGATGCACATGTAACGTTGGAAATGAAGTAAAGCCCTAAGTTAGGACAAGAATGAAAAAAGTGAAAAAAAATTTTTTAAAAGAATGAAAAAAGTGCATTTTTATAAAGTTCTGGTATTTGCTCTAACAAGCGGTTATGAAATAATGGGTGGATATGATTTTCCTAATTTTTGATGTTTTAAAATTGTAAATAAATGATCTACATAGAGTATACACCAACATTTAGCATATACTAAACAGTTCTCTTTAATTAAATGACATGTCGGTGAAGATTTTTTTTTTTTTTGAGACAGCATCTCGTTCAGTCTCCCTGGAATTGAGTACTGTGGCATCATAGCTCATAGTACCTCAAACCCTTGGCTCAGCTTCCCAAGTAGCTGGGACTATAGGCACTGTCCACCACACCTGGCTAGTTTTTCTATTTTTAGTAGAGATGGGGTCTGGCTCTTGCCCTGGCTGGTCTTGAACTCCTGAGCTCAAGCAATCCCCTCACCTCAGCCTCCAGAGTACTAGAATTATAGGCCTGAGCCACCGTGCCCAAGCTTTTTAAAAATAGTCGTGCCCATATTTCTCTCACAAACATCTTTGGAGAAGTAGAGAGAAAAGGAAAGCTACATATTTGGGGGGAAAAAAACTCCCCAATGATTTTGACATCATTCTACCAATTCTAAAACTCACCTGAAAGAGGAAAAGTAAAATATTCTTTCCCAAATACTTCATTTCCTCAGAGAACAAAATACAGATGTGTCCATTAAAATTATAGGATGATTAGATTTCTTTTCACTGACATCCTCAGAAACTTCAATTTTCTTAGCTCACACCAAAAATTAATCACCACATTAGCTCGTGCTTGAAATTCTTCCAGACAGGAAAACTTGTCAACAAAACACTATAAAAACCTCCCTCCCTCTCTCTCATGCCGCAATTAAAATTTTAATGTGTAGAATCAAATAAAATCACACAGTAATTCTTCACTGAATGAGAACAGTGCTCTATTTTCTTGAACTCAATACCCTTCCTGATGGCAGCTGCTAACATCTTCAAAGAAATTAAACAGATTGTTATAGAAAACAGTGAATTGTCAAAAATATTCGCTCCTCCAGCCTGACCAGTCTATCCAGGCCCCTGCTTGCCCTGTCAGAGATATATCTCACTTTATGGTTCCAAATACCTCACATAACTGACAGGGGAGTGGAGATCAGAGTAGTAAACATTTGAATTAAATAAAAAATTACTAAGAAGTATTTACTATTCTTAAATGAAACAATCTGGTGTTGGAGTCATTACCGGAACTTTATAATTCACAAAGTGAAGTATGTGATAAGTGTGACACTAGTTCAAATTATTTTTCTACTCTGCTATTTTTAAATGTATTCTAAAAAGACTTTAAAATACGGGGACCCATAGACTGAGTTTCTTTCCAGTCTATAAAAAGACAGAGAAGGAAAAAAAATACCCTGAGAGACTACATAAAACGCTCCGACTGACTTCTAGTAAGGTAGAAACATGATTTGTGTTTATAATTTGTGGCCACAAACTTTAGTGTAGTGTTGTGCAGTGCCATATTGATAGTTAGTTAAAAAAAGAAAGAGTGGTTATCTACCCATTTGCTCATAATTCCCTAATTTCCTTCCTTCTCTAATCATGCAGTAAAAGCTAGTGAAATATTGGTGGGTTAGCTCCTGAGGGTTTGCTCCTCCACTGGCATTTAACTTCCAGCAGGAAATTGATTTGTTTAGTTTTGTTTTACCTGCCTCATAAGAGATGCTCAAAAAATAAATCAATGAAAGGCTGAAACACGAAACACACAAATAAAACATTTATGTCCTTTGGGAAATTTACATTAAAATATTCTTGATCAAATTTGCAATATGACATTCAATTAAACCAACCCTGAGATTTCCTTTACTTAGATCAGGTGATATCGTCACTAGTTCTCATCACTGCTATTACTACAAATCTCCAATACATAACTCTAGGTTCTCACTTAGCTCCCAACTCACTGTGCCTCTATCCCCCAGCACTACACCTATTTTAATTCTTTATGATTTCAGTATGAACAGAATTTGGAGGATGAGGGAGTCATTTGACTGTGTAGTTGGCAAAAATATATGTAAGGAAAATTTGAAGCCAAATATGCTTTTATTTCATATTATTTTTCTTGAGACAGAGTCTCACTTTGTCACCCTCAATAGAGTCCTGTAGCATCATAGCTCACAGCAACCTCTAATTCCTGGGCTCAAGGGATTCTCTTGCCTAAGCCTCCCAAGTAGCTAGCACTACAGGTGGCTGCCTACCACAATGCCTGGCTATTTTTAGAGTCAGAGTCTTTTCAGAGGCAGGTCTTGACTCAGGCTGGTCTTGAACCTGTGAGCTCAGGCAATCCACTTGCCTCAACCTCCCAGAGCCAAATATGTTTTTTAAATGTCAACAATGAAATGGGTATATGGACACAAAACCTTTTCAATGAATTGAATAATGTACAAATTAAATCATAATATTTTAAAATTTATTTTAGTTGATTTTTTAATATTTTTTAACAATTTCATTCCCCCCAAATGCAGACTTTTATTTTAAAAGTGAATAAGGAATATGAAAAGTAAGATGATAAGCTCCTTGAGGACAGAAATCAGGTCTTATGTTATTCCTCCCCTAACTGTACAAAGGGTAATCAATAAATTCCCAATATTGATTTTAAGGCACATTTTTCCTCCACATTTTAACATCTCTAATACTGTGATTCACCTTATAATAAATAGCAAATTACAGTCACTGTCTTCTGGGCAGCACTCATGAAGTACTTTTCATTGACACTGGAGATTATGGTCACTTCAATTTATTGAATGCCTAGTTGCTGCTGTAAATTTAATTGCCATTTCAAAATAACTTCACAAAGTTTGTACTATGATTCAAGATTGAGGTGCAAAGTTATTAGGTATGCAGAAATGTACCAAAACAGAGCAGCAGGGTGTAAATTTGGTATCAGTGAAGCAAATATTCATTTTTAGAGGAATGACTGCAATTCTGAATTCCTTGCAAAACAACAACCAGCTGGTTTATGGGAGCTAAGAAGTGATGATATTTACAAGTAAAGGAGGCTGCTGTTACATTTTGTTACTGAGATATAAGCAAAAGAATTTTCTTTTATATGCCAACCTATGCAACTTGGGGCGGGAGAACTTGCCAAATCTCTCAGAATGAATAAAATAATATTTGAAGCAACAATAAATGGATAGGACTGATTCAGCATACATTGTGCAGAGCCATCTTAAGGTATTTGTCATCATTTGATTGTTAGAAGATAATGGCATATCTTATAATTGTTGATGTCATATATTTGATAAAATATAAAATGTATATATTGCTTGCTTGCTTGATCTGTTGGTGAGCTGCTTTTACATCAAATTTGATTTTATTCATTTGTAGTTTAATGAACATGATTCACAGTTTCTTCTTCTGGCTGTTATTTTTTTGGTTGTGACTTCCTTTAACTCGTTACATCTTAAGGAACTGCGCTCTGAAGTGGAATTAGAAGTTTTAGGAGACACAGAAGGACTCAACTTGTCATTCACAGCCATCTGTGCCAATGGTATCGTCTTCCCACATCAAAAGAAATGCTCTCACATGAAGGTGGGGGACACAGTAAGTAGACGGCCAATAGACGCCTGAAAAGAAACTCAGATGGGTCAGAAGTTCCTTTAGCTCACTGAAGGTGGATTTCTTTCAAGAATTTCAAAAGTGATTTTCAAAGATTTCCTAGTAAACGCCTTTGGCAAAGCTGATATCTGTGCAGCCTTGTTTCACTTTGTGCATTTTGGTGGATGGAGGGAGCAGATAATTAGTATTTTCTTTTCCAGGCTTCATTCAACGTGACTGTGAATATCCCAAAGTGTGAGAGAAGCAGGCACATTATCATAAAGCCTGTGGGGCTGGGGGATGCCCTGGAAATACTTATCAGTCCAGAATGTAACTGCAACTGTCAGAAAGAAGTGGAAGTGAACAGCTCCAAATGCCACAATGGGAATGGCTCCTTCCAATGCGGGGTGTGTGCCTGCAACCCTGGCCACATGGGACCTCACTGCGAGTGTGGCGAGGACATGCTGAGCACAGATTCCTGCAAGGAGACCCCAGATCTGCCCTCCTGCAGCGGAAGGGGCGACTGCTACTGTGGGCAGTGCATCTGCCACTTGTCTCCCTATGGAAACATTTACGGGCCTCACTGTCAATGTGACAACTTCTCCTGCGTAAGACACAAAGGGCTGCTCTGTGGAGGTAGGCTATGTTTACATCCGTCTTACCCTGCAGAAGTTCAAGTATCCGCAAGGGGCTTTGTGTCCTTTGCACCTTCCACAGACTCCCAGACATAATAGCTGCTCGATAAATATTTGCAGATCAATTTTAGACTTAGGGTATCTGAATTTCCTCTTGTAAGATTTCTGACTCCAACATGAGCTTGGGGTGAAATCTCTGCCGACTGAACTTACACCTCTATTATGAGCACTTTGGGAGTCACAGCAGGTGGACTGTGCCCAGAAGTTCAAGACCAGCCTGGACAACAATACTGAGATCCCTGTCTCTATGAAATAGTAAAAATAAATTAGCAGGATGTGGAAGTGCATGCCTATAGTCCTAGCTACTCAGAAGGGTGGGGCAGGAGGATTGCTTGAGCCCAGGAGTTCAAAGTTACAATGAATAAGATCAGGTCACTGCGTTCCAGTCGGGTGACAGAGTGAAACCCAGTCTCCCTCTGTCCAAGGGGAAAAAAAAAAAAAGAAAAGAAAAGACAAATAGAAGCTTATAGAAAGGATAAAGATGGGAAATGGCTTGGAATATCTTTAAAATTTTAAGAAAAGTTTAAAATAAAAATAAAGTAGAATCTTCATAGTCGACCAGTTCCCTACCATTCCCTTGACCCCCCCTCCTGGACATCCATCACCTGTACTCCATGGATGTTCCTTATGTTGACCACCTCCCTATGTTGATCAGTTTATTACAGTCCCTTGGGTGTTCACCTTACACAGGTCCTACTGTATTCATGTTTTAATATCCTTTGTAGACACAAAAATCACTAGCACTTAAAAATATATTTAATACTCCTATAAAATATTTCTGACATATAATTATAATCTATTCAGATAAGAATTATAAATGTGTTAATATATACTTTAAATGATATAAATTTGTATTACAGTTGAAATGTTAACTGCTGGATTGAAGCTCTAATATCTTGCTTTTTCACACTATGTAAGCAGCAGCTCTTCAAAACAGAAAGCCACTATTTTTATACAAAACTAAGCTATTTATGTTTCAAACCACAGTGTTAGAAACATAAAAAAGGATAATTTTCAGGAAAAAAAAAAGACCTGAAAGAAAGACGCCTCAAAGAATTTCAAGCTTTCTGAAAACCATCTGATACTCTTAGAAGTATACCAACCTTTCATTTCTTTGTTGCTGGTATTGCTATCAATAGGTTCTTTTGAGAAAACGTGCCTTTATCCCCCTAGTGAAGAATTTAGAGTCCGTGCCCATTGAGACACATTTCTCTCCCGCTTCATTCAGAGGTTTATTTATTAATTTAATGAATGTGTTTCCAAACCTGCATTAGTCCTTATGACACTTACAGGACACATCTGAAGGTGACAGGAAGCCAACCAGAGGCCATCTCTGCATTATAGGAAGAAGATATTTGGCAGAATCCTTGTAGCATTTCTTTCTTTTTTCATTTCAGGTTATTGTGAGGGTACAAACAACCAGGTCACAATATCTTAGAGTTAGGTAGAATCCCTCTTGTAGTTGTGTCCCAACCCAAAAGGTGTGCCATGTACCTCTACATTGTGCCCATTAAGTAGGAGCACTCAAACCCCCCCTCCTCTGTACCCTCTCCCCCCAACTTGAATTGAAATGAGTTTTTCTCCCCTGTTGGCATAAATTAGATTGTCTACTGGTAATGAGCACATGAGATATTTGCTTTTCCATTCTAGTGATACTTTTCTGAGAAGAATGTGTTTCAGCCCCATCCAGGTTAATACAAAAGATGGAAAGTCTCTACCTTTTTTACAGCAGAATAGTATTCCACGGTATACATGTACCATGGCTTATTAATCCATTCCTGAGTTGTTCGGCATTTAGGTCGTTCCACATCTTGGTAGTTATAAACTGAACTGCAATGAACACTCTACTGCAAAGGATTTTCTTTTCTTTATGATAAAAGGATTTGTTTTTCTTCTGAGTAGATGCCTAGTAGTGGGATTGCAGGATCAAATGGGAGGTCTAACTTGAGTTCTTCGAGGTTTCACCATACTTCTTTCCAAAGAGGCTGTATTAGTTTATAGTCCCACCAATAGTGTAAAAGTGTTCCCTGCTCTCCACATCTATGCCAGCATCTGGCACTTTGTACAAAAATCTAAAGAACAAAACCTAGCTTCCACAATGGCACAAAAAACAAAACTAAGCAATGGTCTTTCATAAAATAAGATGAAAAGAACTCCACAACACTTACCAGTTCTTGCAGAGTTTCTTTGTAGTAGTCAGAGATAATCTCTTGTATCTCTGTGATACCTGTTGTTATTTCCCCTTCTTCATTTCTGATTGAAGTTGTTAGAGAGTTTACTTTTCTGTTTTCTAGTTAATCTGACCAAAGTTTTATTGACTTTATTTATTTTTTGGAACAACCAACTTTTTGTTTTGCTTATATTCTGAGTGATTCTTTTGTTTTCAATTTCATTTACTTCTGGTATAATTTTGGTTATTTATTTTCTTCTGCTAGGTTTGGGATTAGATTGTTCTTCCTTTTCCATTTCTTTAAGATGATTCATTACATTATTGATGTGCTCTCTTTTGGTTTTTCAGATGTAGGCATCTAATGTGATATATTTCCCTCTTGGGACTGCTTTTGCAGTATCCCACAGGTTTTGTTCATTGTTGCTCTATTGGAGGGATTTGACAATTTCCTCTTTTATCTCTTCCTTGACTCAAATGTCATTCAGCATAAGGTTGTTTAATTTCCATGCCTTTGTGTGAGGATGAAAATTTTGTTGGAGCTTTTCCCACCTTCATTGCCATGTGGTCTGAGAAGTTACAAGGTATATTTTCAATTCTTTTAATTTTGTTGAGTTTGATTTGTATCCTAGGCTATGGTCTGTTTTGGAGTGTGCTCCATGGGCTGACGAGACTTAGCTTTGTGGTGGTGTGTTCTGTATATGCCTATAAAGCCAACTTGTTCTAGGGTCAAAGATACAAGTCTCTTATATCTTTGTTTAGTTTCTGTTTAGAGAATCTGTCCAGTTCTGCCAGAGGAGTGTTAAAGTCTCCAGAATTATGGTGTTATATGATATCATATTGCTCAGACCAATTAAGGTCCATTTTATAAATCTGGGAGCTGTAAAATTGGGTGCATATATATTTAGGATTGAAATGTTCTTGTGGTGTATTGTTCTCTTGACAAATATGAAATGACCATCTTTGTCTGTCCTAACTTTAGTTGCTTTAAATCCACTCCTGTCTGAAAATAAGATTGCTACCTCTCCTTTCTTCTGATTTACATTTGACTAAAATACTGTTTTCCATCTCTTTACCCTGAGTCTGGATTTGTCCTTCAAGTTTAGGTGTGTTTCCTGCAGATAGCATATTGATGGTTTGTGCTTTTTTATCCAATCAGCCAGCCTGTGCCTCTTCACTGGAGAATTCAAACCATTAACATTTATTGAGACAATTGGTAAGTGTGGTGGAATTCTATTCATCTTATTTTGTGAATGTCCATTGCTTAGTTTTATCCTTCACACCATCGTGGAAGCTAGATTTTATCCTTTAGTTTCTGGGTGTTTACTTTGTTGGTGGTCCATTGTGATGTTCAGTGTGGAGAATAGGCCTAAGTGTTTCCTGTGGATCTGTTCTGGTTGTGGCAAATTTTCTCAATGTTGGTGTATCAGTAAAAGATTTGATTTCTCCATTGATTTTGAAGCTTAGTTTAGCAAGATATAGAATTCTGGGCTGAAAATTGTTTTATCTAAAAAGATTAAAGGTAGATGACCATTCACTTCTGGTTTGGAAAGTTTCAGCTAAAAGATTTGCTATCACCATGACGCATCTGCCCCTGTAGATCAGTTGGCACTTAACTCCTGGTTGCTTACAGAATTTTCTTTTTTGCCTTGACTTTGGACAGGTTCATTACAATATGTCTTAGAGATGCCCTAGGATGTGTTGAGATGACCAAGGGTTTGATAGCCCTCTAAAAGGAGTGTTTTGAAATAGTTTCAAACTATTGAAACTTTGGAAATTTTCATGTATGGCATCTTCTATCAAGGCTTCCATTCCTTTATGACAGTCTACTTCCCCTTCAGGGATCCCTATAATTCATATGTTTGAATGCTTCATGAAGTTCCATAATTCTGTGAGAGAATATTCAGCTTTCTCTCTCTTCCTTTCTGCCTCTTTAACCATCTGGGTTAGCTCAAGAGCTTTATCCTCTACCTCTGAGATTCTTTCTTCTCCATGGTCTAATCTGTTATTGATACTGTCTGCTTTCAGTTCCCTGATTGATTCCTGAAATTCCTTAAGCTCTGCCATATTCTTTCTATATTCTTCATATCTTTCATCTACTTTTTGGTTCTGTTTTCCACCTTCTTGTTAATTCCCTTTATTGCCTTTGCCATCATATTTTAAATTCCCACTTTATCATTTACATTAATTCCTTATAGGTGGAATACTCTGCAGAAGCTGCCTCATGGTCCTTTGAGGGAATTGCTCTGTTTTGGTTTTGATGCTGGGATTTTTCTGTTGATTTCTCCTCATGTGTATTTTCTTCTTGTTCATTTCCTTCCCCTACTTTTTCCTTCTCATTACCTCCTTCTCTTTAAATTACCTTGTCTCAGAGCTTATGTGTTAAAGTGGCCCTTTAGTATAAGTCCAAAAGGAAGAGAATAGTAAAGAGTAAGAAGGGAGAAACTGGCGGGTTCAAACCCAGCCCTGGCCAAACAAACAAACAAACACAAAAAAGAAGGGAGAAGCAAGAGAAAAGGGGGGAAGCAGAGGCTGAAGAAGGGAAAGAGAGCGACAGGAGAAATGGTGTTTTTGGCAAGGTGCTATGTCCACACCTGCAACTCTAGGACTTTGCGGGGTCCAAGTTAGGCAGGTGCCTCAAAGTCAGGAGCTCCTTACCTTCCTGGGCAAAAGCAAGACCCCACCTCTGCCATGTTTGGAAAGAGTAAACAAAAACAAAAATAATTAAAAATTCAGCAGCATGTCACTGTGGGGACCTGCCAATACATTCTTTCCAAAGGCCAAAGGCAGGACACCTTAGACTGTGGCCTCTTGACCTCCTTGAGCCAGACCAATGCTATGACCCCCCGCCCCCAGCCAGACCAATTTCATGACCCTGCAGCACTGAGAGAGAAGAAGAAATAATAATAAAAATAAATAGAGAAAATTTAAATAAATAGAGTGCAATTATATAAGATAAATAAAAACAAAAGAATGAATATCGTAGCTGTTGTATGAGAAATTTATGTGGGAAGGATGAGGAAGGTAGAAAAATCTCTACCATAAGAGAGAAAAAAGGAGAGAAATTAAAAAGAGAGACTAAAAGGGGATGAAAAACTATAACAAAAGTGGAGGATTCCTTGCTATTGAATAAATTAAAAATAAAAAATAAATATTCAACCAAACTAACAGACAAATAACAACAACAAAAAGAAATATATGTATGTGTGTGTGTATACACAGATATTAGCAATACATAATATACTGCCTGAACACCAGGTGGCACTGTAGTGTTAGGAGATGGAGAACATGCTGTTTTGCTGTGAAAAATTAGGGCTGGAAGCCACTTCTTAGTTGCAGAGGAGATCAGGTCCTGTCTTCCTGACTTAATTCCCATCAATTAGGGCCTAGTTGCTTCACCAGCATTCAGTCCCCACAAGATTGTGGTTCTAAACCTCTCACCAGATTCTTTAGGAGGCACATCACACAGGCCCCCTTGACAACAATTCCCAGGGCCACTCAGCTCACCACAAGGGTGAGTGCCCAAGTTCAGCAGGTATACCAGCCCTGGCTGTGCACTGGGACCCTGTGGACCATTTCCCTGACATGATGGCGGCATCTAGCTAGCAGCCAAGATCTTCTTAATTCTGTGATTTTCAACCAACTGGAGCGTTAAGCCAAGGACTCTCCTACTCTGAGTCCCTTAAAGCCCAGTCATGAAGCTGGAAAAGTAACCAGCTGCTAGAGCAAAGTTTACAAGAGAAAGCCTAGAAAGAAACCTTCCTTCCACAGTAACGGCAGCGGCTCCTACAAGTGAAACCTGCTTTGCTTGTGATTTTTTTTTTCTTACATTTGCTTTGTTTTTATTCAAAGCATAGAAATTTTAATATTGATGAATAATTTTGCTTACAAATTCTTCCTACTGGATAGTTTTTAGGAACAATGCTAATAACAAACATTTATATAGTGCTTATTTCTGGGCCAGGCAGTGTTACAAACACTGTTAGATACTGTCTTAGGTAATCCTAAATTTTGCTGGAAGAGCAAAACTGGTGAGGCAAAATGCTTAAATGCACATTTATTTTTCTGAAGAAAATTACCAGTTATGCGAGTTTGTAAATCAATGTTATTTGTTTGGAATATCCAATGCCTATTTTAGTATCTTGAGCATGGCAGGCACCCAAAAAATATTATGGGAAGAACACATAAGCTCATTATCTTAAACACTTTATCTACCATTTGGGAGTATTGCGTACATCATTATGTGGTCAGATTTAAAGGGGCTCTTTAGGATTCAATGAGATATAAGTGTCTCCCTCTTCAACTGTCTCTGTCCCAGCTTCTCTTCTGCAACAGCACTCCTGTTCCCCTCTTTTTTTTTTAATATTCCCCTCTTACTGTTGCTCTCTTCTGTAAGGATTGTCTTCTTTAATCACCTTGTAAACACTGATGCTCTCCAGAGCTTTTCTCACCCTACCTCTATGTAAGTGTGATCTAATCCACGACAGCTTTCACTACCACCTTTCCCTGATATTATGGGATTTCTGGATTACTTCATTTCATCTGATTATAAATACTGTTTGATATAACGTCCAGTAATCAGGTGGATTCCCAGTGAGACTAGATCAATAGATATCCATAGTGAGCAAAACATGTGAGATAGACTATATCCACACTCATGCCCCCCCTGACACACACACTTTTTTTTCCATTTTTTCCAATGGTCTATAAAGATGAGAAAAGAAAAGATGCCCTCTGCTCCCTCCACGCCCCAGTCTGCATACAGCATTTTGTTTTACAGACAACGGGGACTGTGACTGCGGCGAATGCGTGTGTAGGAGCGGCTGGACCGGCGAGTATTGCAACTGCACGAGCAGCACGGACTCTTGCATCTCGGAGGACGGGGTGCTCTGCAGCGGGCGAGGGGACTGCGTGTGTGGCAAGTGTGTGTGCACAAACCCTGGAGCCTCGGGACCAACCTGTGAACGATGTCCTACCTGTGGTGACCCCTGTAACTCTAAACGGTAATGTCTGTCTCCTCAGTCCCTTTTGTCAGTGGGCTTCCCGGTAATCAAAGGTATAATGACTCTGTGTAGACTCGGAGCTCGCATTGTATTTGCAGGGCTTAGTCTCCAAGTGTCCATCAAAACACACACACCTGCAGGGCCCCTGTGAGCCTTGGCCTGGAAACCAGTCTCTCCGCTTGCCTCTTTCTCAGCCCTGACTATCGGGAATCACAAAGTCACATGTCTGCTAGAGACTAGCACAGGAAGTCGAGCTGGTGTCCCACACTGATAACATCAGATGGCCTCTCAGTCACAAAGCCAGCCACACAGAAAGAATGCCGTGGAGGTAGACTGACGGCACCCACACGCAGGCTGCACCTTTTCATGGGAAACAGACAGGCCTCTTTTTTTATCTAGAAGTTGACAGCCTGACCTTACTGATTCAGTCCTATCTGGAGACTTACCGAGGCAGAGGCAGAAAGATGGTCTTAACTTTCAATTCCCTCCCGCTTCTTCGCCACCCATGCTCTTTGGCGCCTTTCTCTTGGGTCATTATGCACAGTTATTGTGTACTGTATTTTCTTTTATACTATAAAACAATAACAAAAACCCCCACATTTTCTTAATGAGATTGGGTCAAAACTTGTAGCTCAAGTGAAGCAGACTTCCAGACTGGTTGTTATGATAACTCGGTGTGTAATCTATGAGGCAGCAGATATGCTTAAGCAGTTCGTATTTTCATTAACTCTGGTACCCAAAATGGTGACATTTGCATTTCTGATGTAAACAGAGTGAGAAAATCAATTTTTCACTCAGTGGGTACTCACCATACAGGTGTCAAAACTTCTCTGTCACTGTCCCTGGCAAACTAAGACATGTCTCAGGAGAAACTTGGGGACAACTAATTAGAATTACTTGAATAGAATTTAATGTAAAATGTCCTGCCAAGTTGATTCTTTTATTCTTTTTCTATTTTGTCTTCTCTGGGAACATGGTTTGATCTTAAATCTTGTTTATAATCTGAAATTAACAATCAAAATAGTTTGAATTTGGGGAATCAGGTAAAGGATCTCCTTGCTGTTTGCTAGTTTTGAGATGAGTCCATTTTTTTTTCATGCATGTATTTATTTATCAAATAGGTCACGTAGGTATTAAGTACCTACTGTATGCCAAGAATCATGTTAGGCCATCAGCATGTATTAATAGTAATTACCAAAACAGTTAGACTTTCTATATTCACAGGTTCTGAGAGTCTAGTGGTAAAGACAGACTTTTTTAAGTGATTAAAATGCTGACAGTTGCAGTGGGGGACAGAAGAGGGTACAGGGGAACTACATGCAGCAGGTGGGGCTACCAGACCAGCAGGTGCAGCCATCAGCTAGAAGCACAAACGGGTAGAGATTTTGAGATCTCCACTAGGCCTCTGCAAAGCCACTTCAAACAAATATATGTATAATCTAGGTAAGTTTTGTACCAGCTCTGGAGTCCCTCTGTGCCATCAGAGCTCTGGGAGTGTTTTGTTTGACAGGAGGTACCAGAGTGGGAAGGCACAGGTAAAGAGTCCTCCCCACTGCACAGAGGGTGGTCTGAGGATCAGTCCTGGTGGCAGTGGTGACTGTTTCCCCAGGTCCTTACCCTGCCGCCCACCACTCCCAACTCTGATCTGCCCAGAGATGGCAGCGGCTGCTGTCCTGAGGATCCTCACCCAGGTTCCATGAGTACAGAAGCACACACAGACCTCAAAAAGGGCTCTGTGACCTTTGAGGACATTACCATTGACTTTTTACAGGATGAATGGGAACTTCTTTTTTTTTTTTATGAAGGATTATTATATTTATTCCTTTTTTTCCCTTTTATTAAGTCATATACACATAGATCATGAATACATTTATGCATTTGTGGGGTACAATGTATTGATTTTTTATACAATTTGGAGTGCTTACATCAAACAAATCAACAAAGCTTTCACCTCATTTACTTAATTATTGTTTTAAGACATTTATGTTCTATTCTTGATAGATTTGACTTGTACCCTTGCAATATGCTCCATAAGTGTGGTCTCCCAATTTACCCTCTCTCCATCAAGCCTCCCCTCTCCCCTCCCATCCCCCTCCACTTCTCTTCTTCATCCTGGGCTATGTTGTGATCTATCTTTCATAAGAAAGTGTGAGTAATTATAAATTGGTTTCATAAAAGTACTGAGTACATTGGATACTTTTTTCTTCCATTCATGAGATACTTTGCTAAGAAGAATATGTTCCAGTTCCATCTATGTAAACATAAAAGAGGTAAAGTCTCCATCTTTTTTAAGGCTGCATAGTATTCCGTGGCATACATATACCACAATTTATTAATCCATTCATGGGTTGATGGGCACTTTGGCTTTTTCTATGACTTGGCAATTATGAATTGAGCTTCAATGAACAATCTGGTGCAAATACCAGAGTGATCTTTGGTCTTTTGGATATATACCTAGTAGAGGAATTCCAGGATCAAACAGCAGGTCTACTTTTAGATCCCTGAGTGTTCTCCAAACTTCTTTCCAAAAGGAATGTGTCAGCTTGCATTCCCACCAGCAGTGCAGAAGTGTTTCCTTTTCTCCACATCCTTGCCAACATCTGTAGTTTTGAGATTTTGTTATGTGGGCTACTCTTAGTGGAGTTAGATGATATCTCAAGGTGGTTTTGATTTGCATTGCCCTGATGATTAAAGATGATGAGCATTTTTTCATGTGTATATAGACCATGTGCCTGTTTTCTTTAGAGAAGCTTCTGTTCATGTCTCTTGCCCACAATGAAATGCGATCATTTGTTCTTTTCTTATTAATAAGTTTGAGTTCTCTGTGGATTCTGGTTATCAGACATTTGTCAGAAACATAACTTGCAAATATCCCCTCCCATGGATGAATGGAAACTTCTTAACGAGGCTTAGAGGCTCCTGTACCATGAAGTAATGCTGGGAACTTTGCACTTACAGCCCCACTGGGTTATGAGCATGGAGCAGAGGATGAAGAGTCACCCTCTGAACAGAATGTTTCTGTAGGAGTATCACAGTCTAAGGCAGGTCCATCCACTCAGAAGTCTCACCCCTGTGAACTGTGTGTCCCAATCCAGAAAGATATTTCTTTGGCTAATCTATGTGGGCAGAAACCCTACTGACTGGAGTAAGTGCAAACCACCGCCAGCACCAGGATCATCACAGTGCAAAGAAATCCTTGAAGGTGACAAGGACAGATCCTCAAATATAAAGGGCTGCCCTCTGAATATATCAGGGAACACCTTCCCCAGCTGGGAAGGTGGGGAGGCCCTGTTGGCCATGCTGTGGCTTCTGAGGTCTCCAGCCTTTCCCAAATGTGAGAAGCTGAAGAAAATCACCAAGTGCAGGGAGGATCTTCACAGAAAAAAGGGTCATGATGAATCTGGTGCACATGGGAAAGCTCCCAGGCACAAACACACCCCTGTTCACCACCCAAGAGTCTACACTGGAAGAAAGCATAGCATATGGGAAAACCTTCCATGGCAAGTACCGGGAGAGGCCATTCTGGAGAAAGGCCTTGGAAGTGAGTGTAGCTAATGAGGAAAATTCTTCAGATAAAACTCCAGCATTGTTGACCACTAGAAAATCTACACCGGAGCAAGGCCTCCTGGGTGTAGCTAGTGTGGGAAGTCCTTTAGTAAAAAATCCCCCCTCATTAAACACCACAAAGTTTACCCTGGAGAAATGTGGAAATTCCCTTAGTCAAAGTGTTGTTCTTAACACAGAAGAATTCACACCAGAGCAAGGCCTTATGAGTAAGGCCAGTGGGGGAACTCCTTTAGCCAAAAAGCTACCCTCTTTAGATACCAGAAAGTTCATACTAGATAAAGGCCTCGTAAGTGCAAGGAATGTAGGAGATCTCTTAGTCGAAGCTCTGTCCTTATTCAGCACTGCAGAATTCATGCTGGAGCAAAGGCCTTAGGAGTGTGGCCAGTGGAAAGTCCTTTAGACAAATGTCTGATCTCATTTAACGGTGGGTGGCGCCTCCAGAGTGTGGCAACTGTGGGAATTCTTTCAGCTGGTGATCCAGCCTCATTCACTACCAAACATGTCACAGCAGGTAGGGGACTCATAGATGCAGCTCATGTGGAAAAGTCTTTAACTCAAAGTCTAACATCATTTAGCTCCTGAAAGCCCACACTTGTGAAAGGGCTTAGGCCTGCAAGGAATGTGCTGTCTCTGCAGTGTTATGGCGCTGGAGGGCCTTTGTGAGGAGACATAATGGGCTGCCTCACAAAGCCGCAGCTTGTGCACTATTAAAGGCCTTGCTGTGAAATCTACCTGTCATCTTGGGGCGTTGTTTACCATGTGAGATGGGTGCAAAATGGAGAGGCTAGAAGGAATGGATAGCTTTTGTGGGGATCTGTGGGCCTGTCCCCCAAAATAAAATGACAGACAGTAGTTCTCCTGCTGGTTCTGGTCAAATTCACTTTGCCGCCCAAGACCTCTGAGGAAAGAATGCAAGGATTTTATTGTTCTAATTTGTGACCCAGATCCCTATACTTTGTGTGAGACTAGAGGTCATCCTGAGGAGATGTCAGCTCTATCAGGTCAGGCTCCTGAGCATCTGGGAATAGGATGAAGTTGTTCCATTGTTCCCAGAGGATGTCATATAATGCCTGACACTGAGGAGAACCTTTTCACAAACTCTGCAAAGATGAGATGCATAAGCTGATGTCACTCTGGAGGCAGGGGAAGTCAGGTGGGAGCCGTAATTAGTACAGAGATACGGGGTGTGGAGGAGCCTGCAACAGACCAGATGAACGTGTGTCTCCTAAAGGCGCATTTGCAAACCTCCCAGTGACTGGGGAGCTGCCACAGGACCTAGAAATCTGTGGCTGTCCAATAGCTGAGGTCATTGTCAACTAAAATCATCTAAAGGTTTCATGCATTCTTGTGGACTTTCTGCAAAAAATCGGCATGGAGTTGCCAAGCCTTCTGGTTTCTAAAAAGTAGGACATCAGATATTTGATTTTGAACCGTATTTTACCAACTTTCTTGATATGTGTCATACAAAAGTGACATATAGTTTATATGTGTTTGTGGTGTATAATTTGAAGAATTTTGCTACATAAACTTAAAAAATCATCATGATCATGAACACTATCTGTGATTCACCCCCTGCCCTTTTATAAACTCTGCCTGCACCCCCTAGGCCTGCTAGCTCTACTGATTTATTTTCATTCACAGGAGAATAGTTTGTTTTCTAGAAGTTTGTGTGAATGGAATCATAGAATGTTCACTTCTTTTTTTCTGATTTTTTCACTCTGCATAACTGTTTTGAGAGTCATAGTTCATCATTCGTTTTAGTGCTGAGTAATATTCTATAATTAAGGGCATAATTTGTCCATTTATAAGTGAGCAGTTGGGTTGTTTCCGGTTTGGGGTTTTTACAAATAATACTACTCTGAATATAGGCATAGATTTCTTACTATGCATACCTATGTTTTATTTTCTCCTGAGCCAATAATACAGTGTATGTGAATGCTTCCCTTCTAAAGAAACTGCCAGGCTGTGATTTAACCTCTACCGCTGGCATTCCTGCCAACAGTATGTGAGCCTTCCCATTCCTCTGCACTCCTGCCGGTACTTGGTATTGTCAGTCTCTTTAATTTTTATTGTTTTCATAGCTGTATAATGGCATCTCTCTGTGATTTAAATTGACTGTGTCTGGTACTTTGTGTTTTCCAACAATTTTTGTGTTTATTTTTCACCTGTATGTCTTCGTCAGAACAATGTTTATGTCTTTTGCTTATTTTTAAATGGATGTTTGGGGATAATTCCTTTTCATTAATACCGTTTGCATAATTCCTTTTGTCCATACGCTTCCTACATGGGGAGCCTCAGAACTCCATCGCAAGGAATAAATGGCCCGAGGGTTGGTGAAGGCTTGGCTAAGGAAGTGCAGTTTCAGCTGAGATTTGCTGATGCATGTATGGGGGCGGGGGGTAAGCATGAAGAAGAACATAACATACCACTGGGGAGCAGAGACAGGCGGCATGAGGTGTCCATGGTGAGAAAACGCGTGCTGTTTTGGGTTACTCCAAGAACAATCTATTTGTAAAGTGATTTTTCAGCACAAGATTAATTCAAGGTATACATTTTGCTTTGCTCTATAGACACCCCTAGAGTAGTTTAAGTCTTAGGCTACGTTCTTGGAAGTATGCTTTGCTATAAGTAATAATCTTGTATTTAAAAGCCTTTGTTAATGAGGACCTAAATTCTAATCCTCCTCCTTTTGAAGATACTCTCATCAAGGCTTGGACTTTTAAAAAAAAAAGAGTTACAGAAACAGTGAATTTTAAAAATAATCACACCTGACATATACACAGACCACTAATCAGCCTTGGAATTCTAGTTAACATGTAGGCCATTTCTATCAGGAAATGAAAAACTTCGCCTAGTCTCTAATCGTATTTTTGGGACATAAGCTCTCCTTAGGAAAAAGTAAAATGAAAACATAGATAAATCAATTGGGTTTTGTTTTGTTTTGTTTTTTAACTTAACCAACCAGAAGCAATCATTACAGATAAACAGTATAGTGGCTATTATCAAGGCTGGCTCAGGGAACACTGATTACTATTGATTACTGAGTAAATTCAGAATAATCAAGTATCCGCTCAGATATCTTTATGAAAGTAAAAAAAGGCACTGTCACCTATGAGACACTCCTATAGCACAAACTGCAACAACAGTAAAGCAATATTCCAGCTGTGTATCTAGTTTCCACCAACACGCACTGATGTCAACTGTTGAATACTGTCTGCAGGAGCTGCATTGAGTGCTACCTGTCTGCAGATGGCCAGCCCAGAGAAGAATGTCTGGACAAGTGCAAACTAGCTGGTGCGATCATCAGTGAAGAAGAAGGTTCTGCTTTTCTTAAATTGCCTTTGTTTCCTTCCCGTAGTTCTTGAGAGCCATAGTTCTTTATAAATCAAGGCCATTTTTATAGCTCGACCTTATATGTACTGGGGCATGAACACACTCACATTTAAGAGTAAATGCATTCTATGAGCCTAAAAACTCAATGGCATGGGACAAAACAGGTGCAATTTAAAGTCATAGCTGTTCTATTAGACCTCAGCTCTGTTGGCAAGTTCATCTCTACTTAAACAAATGCAAATTGCACAGAACTCCAGAATGCTTTATTCTTCAAAGTAGAAAAAAGATAATTGAGGAAATAGCTAAATGTTAGCCCCCAAACCTGAAATCATCCTCTGTCAGCTGATTGCCTTGTTTCAAGGTAAGACAAAGGCAGCTGTAGAGCCCTGGTCCTGATAGCAGCTCCCAGATACTGGGTGAGATGGTTTCTGATAAGTGGTTAGTGGCTGTCCCTCCCGCCATACGCCTTTACCCCAGCCTTCCAAACATGGGCATCACATGACCATCCTTAATTCCATTTTCTTCATCCCCAAAATATAAGAAGGGCCTGTTACCTTTAGCTGCTAAGCAAACTCTGCTCTTGCTTTCATCTTTCATTTTAAACTTAATTACTTTAAATCAGATTCTTCATAATGGCAAATCTCACCTCAATTCTTTAGCTTTTATTTTAGCTGGGAAGCCCATTTTAAAAAATGGTTTGTGAACTTTAAAACAAAGAATAGGACTGACTCTTCCTAAAGGGACAGTCTCGGAGAATTTGATTTGTGTCATCCCAAGCTCTCCGCATTTGCTCGGCTCGCCTTAGAGATGTGGCCAAGATGTAACTCAGGTGAAGGGAAAGAATCAAGACAATAATTTATCACCCTCTAGGGGATGTGTTTTGAATAGATGGAATTAGAATATGGAAATTAATTTGTATCCAAAGTCAAAGAAGTTAATGACCTTTATATTGTTTCAAAAATGACTTACATTGTTTCAAAATTGAGAGTTCTGTCTGCACAGTGGAATTGCCCTAGATGGCAGGACAGGATTAGTGCTCAGGAAACCCCTCATCTGTGCTTTTCTGGTGACCAAAGATAAACAAGCCAAATAGCAATAAATTGGACAAGATGGTGTGTGCCTTACACTAATGGCCACAGGTAAGCTGTATTAACACACTGGGGAAGGTGGCGTTTGTGGACTGTGCACATGCGTAACTCGTGCAGAGTCTCAGCATAGCCTCTGGGGTCATTTTACAGCAAGCCGTGGGGATATTTACCAGCTGTTTCTGATAAATGGGTAAAAATTGCAGAAAATGCCCTGCACAGTACTAGGACTCAATTCACTAGCAACATGGGGAACGTGATGTGTCAAGTGGAAAAAGGATAAATCGTAGAAACATGTAAATCATCTCGGCTTGAACTATGTAGTTACTCTATTTAAGTATGAAATTTTCTGAGTAGATTATTATAAATGCCTGGATTTAAGAAGGCAAGAACTCCAGTGGCATTTAAAATATTTACATTATTCTTTGTGTATATTTGACTAAATTCACTTCAGAATAGGGGGGTACAACTATTTCTATCCCAGAAATGGAAAATAATCATTGGATTACTAATACAACTTAAAGCACTAATCTGGATGAATTTGAAAGAAAAAGTATATTTGTCAGACTGTGATTTTAAAAGCCACTTTTAAATGAGCCCTTTCATAAGTCCCGTCTCAAGTTACCCAGTTATTTCATTGATGGTACCACCCTGAATTCATCACACCCTATTGGCTCTTCCATAGGGTCTTTTAGCAAAACATCCTTCCCCCAACAAGGTCATGGATAGTAAAATAAAATAAACCTGACTTTATAATCCCTATGAACTGTTCCTCAGTTGTGCTGTGGGTGACTTGGGTGGACACATCTGAGGACATGATTTAACCTCATTCATTCCATTCTACTGGCTTATGCTTTTAATTTATACTAACACTGTTATCCAAAGTGCATTTCATGGAACACTAGTTCTGAAAGCATCAAATGGAAAAAAACTCCCAAAGTCATATACATTTTGGAAATGGGAAACCAAGATTTTTTTATTGTTTTTGCAAGGCTTCTGAGAGTTTTTATGCACATTTAATTTAATATGAATTAAATTAAGAGTGGCAAGGGGAGGAATTAGAGTAAAAAGGGAGTTCCCAAACTTATTTGACCATAGAACCCTATTTCCCCCCTTGGGAAACTATTTCTTTGAGAACTGTTAACTGATCCTGGAGCTGAGGTCTTAAAGGCATAGTTGTCTTAACGCAGTTTTGTAGAAGTTTTGTATTTTCTATATCCTTCCTGGACCTTCCCAGACCCCACCTCCTCAATCCTATTCTCACATTTCTTCCCTACGAATGATTTCATGGACTGCCAGAGATCTCATTTTCCTTGCTTTATTCTAGAGGAGCAATTGTGGGCATTCACAAAGGACAGCGAAAAAGAAAAGTCCATCTTTATGAGCAACAAAAGAAAACCTTAGCAGCTAATTATGCAAATCTTACGTGGCACATTTGATAATACTATTTCAATACCAAAACACTACAGAACAGGCTACATCTAGAGCTGTTAACAGTCATGAAAAGGAGTGGTGAAGTAATTAAAGCAGTACAGGAGCTGCGACTCAAAGGTCATATTCACTGTTCCATTAAAACTTTAAATAACCCTGGCAAGTAAAGTAAGCCTCCTTGGGCTTCAGTGCACCTATTTGAAAGAAAATTAAAAAAAAAAAACAAAACACAAGATTAATATTACTGAACGCAGGATGATAAGCCATCCACATATTTTCTACCTCAGAATAAAATGCTCCATTAAATATATTCAGGGCAGCAGAATGAGCCTGCATTGTCCTGGCAGAGAGGGGGCAGGAAGGAAGAAAACATTCCAGTAAGAAAAAGAGTGGTGATATAACACAGGGTATGGTGAAGACCATGTAAAAACAACCAAAATGTGGATTATATATGTAGTGCTCTGTGCAGCCAAATGCACGAAATAATGCAGAGGTTCCCAAATCTTTTAATCAGAAGGATTTTTTTTTTTTTTTGAGACAGAGTCTTACTCTGTAGCCCTCAGTAGAGTGCTGTGACATCACAACTCACAGCAACCTCCACCTCTTGGGCTCAAACGATTCTCTTGCCTCAGCCTCCCAAGTAGCTGGGACTACAGGTGTCTGCCACAACACCCGGCTATTTTTTGTTGCAGTTATCACTATTGTAGGTTGGGTTCGAACCTTCCAGCTCTTGTGTATGTGGCTGACACCTTTGCCACTGAGCTACAGGCACTGAGCCTGGAATCATCTTCTTAATGACTAGTAAACAGCTAAATGTACTTGTTCCTGCATGTACCACCAACTGCTTAAACCACAATACCCAGGACTGGGTCCCCAGAATTTGTATTTTCTTTTTAGAGTCTTACTTTGTCACCCACAGTAGAGTGCCGTAACGTCACAACTCATAGCAACCTCTCAGCTCGTGGACTTAGGTGCTTCTCTTGCCTCAGCCTTCCAAGTAGCTGGGACTACAGGCACCTGCCACAACACCTGGCTATTTTTTATTGCAGTTTGGCCGGGGCCAGGTTCGAACCCGCCATCCTCAGTATATGGGGCCAGTGCCCTACTCACTGAGCCACAGATAGCCCTGAGTCAAGTGCTATGATGTCACAGCTCACAGCAACCTCAAACTCCTGGGCTTACGCAATTCTCTTGCCTCAGCCTCCCAAGTAGCTGGGACTACAGGTGCCCACCACAATGCCCAGCTATTTTTGGTTGTAGTTGTCATTGTTTGGCAGGCCCAGGCTGGATTCAAACCCACCAGCTCTGGTGTATGTGGCAGGCCCCTTAGTCACTTGAGCTAAAGGCACCACCCAGAATTTGGGTTTCAAAACTTCCAAGTGATTTAGATGGCTGTAAACATTTGGAAATGACCAGATTAGAATGGTTTGTAATTAGGTTTCTTAATATTCCCATATAATAGATGTTTCTAATGGTTTCAAAAACTGTGCACTTAAATCTATCATCTGAAATCTTATTTATAAGTGTTTTACTAAATGTTTCACTAGTCCCTGTGTTCATAGATAACACAAGGTATACTTCTCAGAGACTCTGTCAGGTTATCTTATAAATTAAATGAAAAACAACAAATTAATATTTCTTTCTGTGGATATGGTATTTTTGTACCAAAAATAGGCTATGATGTAACTTTTCTTTCAGAGGAATATATGTAGATTCTGTTTTAGTGACACTTTTTAAATTTTTAAGCTAATGAGAGAGGTTATAAGCCTAAAGGAGTATGTCCAGGATTATCTGGGACAATCCCAGTTTTAACATTCTATGTCATGTGTTATAACATGCTACTTAAGTTTTCTGAAAAAGTGTTCTTAACTACCGTCAAAAATTCTCCAACTTAGAACAACTAGAGAATTGTTAATCAGTTCTCTAAACTGTTGCTTTTTTGGTTTGGTTTTTAATTGGGAAAATGCTGCATAATTTTGGCCTAGCTGCTAGACCTCTAGAATTTCTGATATAGTCCTGACATCCTCCATTGGCCATTTTACTTCGTTTTCCATTTCTGTCATGACATTTATTTTCTGCCTCTTGAATAAGCTCAATATGAAAAAACTCTTCATTTGGAAAATATTTGAGGAAAACTGGATTTTTTTTTTAATTAAGAAAGGAGCTATCCTGAATAATAGGCAAACTTGGATTCCATATTCCTTTATCTTTCTCCTCCTGGTCCCTAAGCTACATAACACTTGAGTCTCAGTTTGCTGATGTTAATTTATATTTATTGTTGTGACAGAATATGGCCAACGATGTTGAGTATGCCACTGGGGGAGGCCCTCTGTGAAGTATCAGTATCAGTTCGTACTGTGCAAAATGTAATTCAGACGTCCTTCCAGATGCTCTCAGCAGAGAGGAACATGCAGCCCCTCATTACCGTGATCGGGGCCATTCTATTCCTGCGACAGCTGTGGGTACCTGCCTTGAAGTGCTTTCACTTTATTGAAATCCTGCCCACAACAGTTTGAGAGGGATATTTGATGGTCAGTCCTGATTGACCACATCTGGAACTATTCTTCTGGACCGTGGGCAAAAACTGAAATCTCGGGTGGTGGGGAAAACAAACCTCTGCCTTTTGTATTCCCATTCTGCAATACTGACAGTTCTCCCTCGCATAGTAAGCTCACTATTTTGCTTAAAAAAGCAATCTCTTTTGGAATCTCATTAACCTAATGAATGACTCCTTTATCTGCAGATTTCTCAAAGGATAGTTCTGTTTCCTGCTCCCTCCAAGGAGAAAATGAATGTCTTATCACATTCCTAATAACTACAGATAATGAGGGGAGAACCATCATTCACAGCATCAAGGAAAAAGGTGGGTGACTTGCCTTTCACAGTCAGTGGCAAGTGATACTGTGTGAGAGGAGAGAAAACAACCAGAAGGTCACTTTGAGTCACTTGCCAGGAGAGACATTGCCAAGTTTTTGATAGAGTGCCTCTACTTTCCCAAGGATTGAAAGATAACTTTTAAAAGGTTTGATATGTTCCAATGTTTCTTACGAAGACCAGATAAAAGACAACTTGTATTTGGAGCAATCATCATCCCCTGAAAGCTGGCTGGTGAATAGCAGAAAGGTGAGCCAAATGAAATGGAATGTAAGGGACAGGTGTATCTTTAGGAAAGGCTGACAGAGAGACACCTAGCAGCTTTTAAAAGTGAGTTGGAATCAGGCAAACCTTGCTTCAAATCCATTTAATAGTTCCTTGACATTCTGGAAGATACTTGCCTCTCTAGGTCTCTATTTCCTCATCTGTAAAATGGGAAAGATAATTGCACTTTCTTCCAAGGGTTGACTTAGGATTTAAGGAATGATGTACTTACAATATGTGGCAGTTTGGAACTGACAAGTTAATGGGTGATTAGACGATAACACTGGGTCAGAAGAGATAGGGACCAGCAGCTGGGGAGGGTGTGATCTGTAGAGGGGATCCAGCTGGGGAGGGTGTGATCTGTAGAGGGGATCCAGCTGGGGAAGGTATGATCTGTAGAGGGGATCCAGCTGGGGAGGGTGTGATCTGTAGGGGAGGGTGTGATCTGTAGAGGGTATCCAGGGGTCCATTGTTCTTGTGGATTTTTATCCACAACAACTTATCAATTCAGTCTGAGACATCAGGACCCCTCAAGTTAAAATTTCACATTCAGTGGAAAGAAAACTTTACATCAAGTATAGAAGAAAGCAGTTGAGACGGTACTCATACTGAGAAGTTCCCAAATTTTAGAGGGTATCAGACTCACCTGGGAAGCTTGTTAAAGATGCCTATATCCTGAGTCAGCAGACCTGATGTGTGGCTCAGGACTCTGCATTTTGGCTCTGGCACCTCTGACCCAAATGGTCCCAAGATCTCTTTTTGAGTGACTGCCTAAATAGCCTGTCTGCACTCTCAGACACCCACAGGTGCCTCACATTTTCTAGCTCCAATGAATGATGTGTTTCTCTCTAATTCTGTCCTGCAGAAGTGACAGCTGCATCAAATCAGACCTCATCAGACCTTGTCAGCAACCTCCTCCTCCCACAAGGAGCTTGCAACCCAAGTTCTGTCTCAGACAGCAGTGGCAAGGGCAGGCTAAAAGTCAGCTGTGTGTTGTTGCGTGTGCCTGCTTACCCTGTACCAAAAAAAGTGATAGCAATGTGCTGATAAAACAGTACATTTTCAGTAATTTGAAACCAAAAGTATCAAAATGGCATTGCTCAGCATGACAACCAAAGCAATGCCAAGCTAACCAAGAAAGACATTAGAAACCAATCAAGAAAACATGTTCAGAAAAGTAGCACATCACAGTGCTGAGGGAGAGGGAGAGATAGAGGCTGGCGCAGACCAAGAAATGCATAGGTGAGTGTAAACTTGGCCTTGAAGCTTCATTGCACAGAGTGATCCAGGAGAGTTGCTCTTGAAAAATCGCATGTAAACTGACTTCTTTGAAATGCACACATAAAATACATCTTACAGCCATTAGTTTAGGAGCACAGGGTGACTCCTGCTGTGCAAGGAAGAATCACTTTACAATACAGAAACACCTGCCTCCTCATTATCTGTTTCATGAGGTCAAATTCTCCACCCTGTTTGTGACTACGCCACTGGTTTTAGCTATCTTCAAATCAAAACCATCCCTGCTAATACTGATTCTATTGAAAACATGAGTTCCACACAACAAAAATTTGCAGAATCAAGCTCTGTTTTTAGTTGGGAGGCTTTTGTGCTTTTGTATCCAGTTGACTTTTTTTTTTTTTCCAGTGAAACGTACCTGTGACTGATAAATGGCTCCTCATTAACTAACTGCTGTCTGTTCTTCTCTTCTTCCACACAGTATGAGTGGCACATCCACACGCCGTCCTTCAGAGCGGGCACAGACGCCCTGATGCCTTTTTATTGTGGGATTTTATTAGCCCTATGCCTTTGTAGTCAGGAAGAGTGAGGGAAAAAATTACCTCCCTGAGGCTTAACACTAGTCACCTGCCAGCTTCAAGGATGCCTCTTCCTCAAAAAATACTCACATTTTTGGGTAGGCCTGGCATTTCCAGGAGCCAAGAGAGCAAAACTGGTCCCCCCAGAAGTCAATAGTCCCTCCTCTTCATAGCTTTAAGAACAGAGAATCCCATGGTGGTCAGTTGGAGGTGTGGGTAGAAAAGAGGCAAAATGAGGAGGAGGAAGGAGTGGGGGAGGTTAATGATTCCCAGGTCCTCCAAACAAATTTTAAAAGGAGCTGAGTGAAGAGCGGCCACCAGGGTGCTTAGGGACACAGGCACAGCTTCACTCAGCTTCTTGCTGACATTCAGAGCCTAAGAGCCACATCAGAGTCAGGAAATAGGACTTGGGGAGCCTTCCTGGCTGGAAGGTAACCACCTTGCTAGAAGATTCCATAAAAGTGCATTTGTCACAACAATAGTAACATTAATAATAACATAAAAGCTCTCATCTACTAAGCCAAAACCATGCGCCAGATAACATTGTATATGCTTTACGTGTACTAATTCACTTAATATCCTTAACAACCATATAAATCAGACACTACTATTATTTTTGTCTTACGGGCAAGGAAATTGAGGCATAGAGACCTTAAAAATTTGCAAAGTCTTGCAGTAATTAAGTGCCAGAGCTGGTTGAGGAACACCGGCAGTCTGGCTTGGAGCCCATGCTCCTAACCACTGTACTGTACTGCCTCCCACTGGCTGTGCAATCATCATAAATACGTGAATGGCAAAAAGATGTGCTAGATCAGCATCGTCCAACAGAACCGTCATGCAAACCATACACGTAATTTTAAATCTTCTAGTATCCACATTTAATGAATAGTTTACCATTCCTATACAAAATTTGGTCATTTCAACAGGTAATCAACATAAAAATTATTAATGAGATCATTTACATTTTTTCCATAACCAAATGTTCAGCATCACTTGTAGCACAACCTAATTGGGAAAAGTTGCATTTCAAGTGCTCAGTAGAGGCGTGCGGTAGAGCTTGGACGGCACAGCTAGGTTAGCTACTCGGTACTTTAGAAGTAGGCCCAGCACTAACCTGGACTTGAGGACAGAAAAAGGGGAAGAGTGCCCATGGCACACAGTGATAGAGGCGACCCTCTGAGAAATCTGTCTTCAGTCTGACCTTTTCAAGAAATATCAGAGTATAAAGAGTAAGATCTCTATTGTGTAAGATCTGCTCTGGCACTAAGGCCAAAAATCTTTTCTTGAGAAAGGTACAATTCCCAAAGACCTTGATTTCTTCAAATAATTATCTCTGCCAGTCTGCACCCAGTCCTCCTTTATTTCCTACTAGAGACCCCTCCTCATTCACGTCTGGCTGCAGGGTCTTAGCAAGCTTCATCTTGCTTTGGGCAGGAGCATGATACACCCCACCGCAGATATTTCTCAGCCAAAGATGTAGCCGGGGTCTACATGACATGATCCTGTTACTTTCTTTGCAGGAGTGTTGCAGCCATGGTTCATTGCTATGCTTAGATACAGTCTTTAGATCTTCCTGCTATAATAGCTATGTCATTCGCTCCTTTACTTATTTCTGCATAATCTCCTTACCTGGTTTCTTGGCCAAAGAATGAAACTGTGTGAGGCCAGGCACCATGCTGTGAAGGGGCCATTAGTCCCACTCAGATTCAGATCGGCTATCCATCCTCACCTTAAAAGCAGCATGACTGGTTCTATTAAATAATATCTAAAAGCAATAAAAGGATAAACTAAGAATGATTCATTTCCTTCCCAGATCCCATGGATTTTGCCTTGCTTCTTGCAGAGGGAAGCAGATATTTAACGATAATTTCTATGTAGGATGTTTTTTCCCACAAAGCAAGAGGAGAGCTTAATTATAATGTTTCATTAAGAAATGTATCATCTCCTAGCATATCACCAGGATTATTAGTCATTCTTCTGTCAATGAGGGAAGGTACTGTATAATTGCAAAATTACATTAATATCACCAATAGAGTCAAAATAGCATTTTAGAGGATATTTCACTTGAAAGGACCATACAAAACATCTGATTTCCCAAAATTCCCTGAAGATAAGAATTACTTAGAATGCCTTAAAAAAAAAACCTGTGGCCTTGTCCGAGACTTATTGAATCAGAATCTTAAGGAGGTTGTCTAGGAAGCTGTGGGTTTAACAAGCGTGAGCCCTTTGCTTATCATAATCATCGGGAATGGGCAGGAGACACTGAACTTTGTTTTACAGATGAGGGCCCAGAGGCTCAGAGAAATCCAGGGACTTGATTAAGTTCACACAGCTGCTATACGTCAGATGGGACCTGAACCCACCTCTCCAACTCTGGTCCAGGACCTTTCCAGGAAACCATAGCACTGTATTGGGTTCAACAAAATAAAACTGAAAGCTGTCATTGTCTTCTGTCTGTAAAAAAAGGAGCAGCACATAGTAATCTTTCCAGGAGATAGGTTGTATATAAATTTTAATATCATCTCCTAGACTGCTCACAATTCAAGAAGATCCATGAAAAAGTAATTATGTGCGTGCCACCCACACATTTCATTTGTACCTTATCATGTACTCAGAAGAGACCATCTTTTGTGATAAAACTAGCATCATTCTTGGTCCTTTAAACAGTCCCCATGCATTGATTGTCACTCTTCTGGCTTCTAACTCTTAAGTCAGCCATCAAGTGTGCATCCAATTGCTCTGAATGACTACACTCCTCCTTTACCTCCTGTTCTTTCTTGAAAGAATGAAGGGCTACACTTTAACAAGTTACTCATTTTAAAAAAATTCAACAAGACAAAAAGGTGTCAGTATTGACCCCTGGCTGCACAGAAGATCCAAAAAGAAATGCCTTTCCTATGTCAAAACATTAATGGTTCCACCTTCTTATCATAATTTTCTTTGTTTGCACAGATTGTCCAAAACCTCCAAACATTCCCATGATCATGTTGGGGGTTTCGCTGGCTAGTCTTCTCATTGGGGTGGTCTTCCTGTGCATCTGGAAGCTGCTGGTGTCATTTCATGATCGTAAGGAAGTTGCCAAATTTGAAGCAGAACGATCAAAGGCCAAGTGGCAGACGGTACGTGAACATTGAGGGCTATTCTGGGAGAAAGAGCCGGGTGGAAGGGATTGGAGGGCTCAGCCTTCCTCTGCTCTAAAAGACAGTTCCATGTTATATTCTCTCTCTACCACTCTCACCGTGAGCCTAAACGCTTTCATTTCTGTTCTGCATCAGAGACAAAGGAACCATGACTTGGACCTAGATGGCCCTTGTAACGTATTTGTCTGTCCGTGCACTGTGGGAACACACACCACTCTGAGGAGTCTCATTAAACTCTACAGAAATACTTGTTACTGATGTAATGGGTTACAACACAAAAGTTGAGAAGACTTTTTAAATACAATGCAGATAGTTTCTCGTGAACAACATAAATTTTAATCAGCTACCTGAAAAAAACAAAAGCCCAAAGTATCAACCCTTAACTATATGGACTCAACAGATATAATTTAAGTGTCTTCTCTTCACAGGAGGCAAACAGAAAACAGAACTACAGTTTTCTGTGTTTCTTTTCCATTGGAGAGATAATTACATTTCTAGAGATCCATAGAAACAATTTCATGATTTTAATTTCATCTCTCTATCTCCAATGGTGTGTCCAGCTATCTAATACCAATTATCTTACATTGCTGATTCTAAAAACAGTGATATCACCAGAGAAAATACAGGCAAACACAATGCTTTGAGGGGTTCATCAGCTCAAGTAAATTGATGTTAACACTTTTATCTCTAAGCCTACAGTGATGTCTTCTAAAGCAAATGGAATTTTCCATTTTGAATAAGTTTGTCTTACTACGCGATATTTATATTTTATGTAGTTATTTCAAGCTACTCATAACATATGATTCAAGACAATGCGCAATGAAAAATTTCATCTATTTTATCTTCCTGCTAAAAATGCCTTTAGATACAATAAGCAAATGGAATGTATGGATCTTGTTTGGAACAGTGCAAGTGTAAAAAATATGTTTTTAAGACAACTGAAAAAAGATGGAAACACACTGGATATTAGAATGATAGCAAGAAAGTATAGATGATTTGATTAGGTGTGATAATAGCATGATGACTTTGCAAGAAAATATCCATAATTTTTAGAGATACATACAGAAGGAGTGAGAGGATATGAAGGCTGGAGTATGCTTTGAAATAAGTCAGCCAAAAAAGGAGAGTGGGAGGGAGGGATAGTTGAAACAAGTGTGGCAAAATCTTGATGATTGTTGAATCTAGGTGATGGGTTTATGGCAGTTTATTAAACAGATTTCCTCTTTTTGTTTATCTTTGCATGTTTCATAATTAAACAGAATTTTTCTGGAAAGCAAATTGTGGGTTTGCATTAAGGATATAATTTATCCATTCCTAACAGTGTAAAATGCAACCACACAGGTTAGTTTGGTGACTTAGAACATAGTGCTAATGAGGCCAAAGTTGAGGGACAGTTAACAATGTCCGATCCCATGGCCACAGATGTTATTTTTAACTTTAATCAACTGTTGAGCAAATGCCTGGCAATGGTGAGAAGGAGAATCAGGCAAAAGAAAGTGGTTAAGTTGGCACAAAAAGCAACAGCAGCAATTGGCTGAACCACGACCAGCCCTGGGGAATAGTCTTGGTATTCCCGTTTAAAAGGTAAGTAAACTGAGGCTCAGAGACCTTAAGGGACTTCCTAAATTTTCAGTGCATGGTAGAGCTGAAACCTTAATTGTTCGTTGTTCTTCCAAGCACAGCCTTTGGTTGACCCTTCCAGAAATAACAAGCAGGAATTCTGCAAACAAGGACTTGGGCAATTATGTGATGTGTGTCTATTCACCAGCACATTTTAATGTTCTCATACAAAGGCATGAGTACTGACAAATGATTAATATCTTTAAAATAACATTTTAATTAACAGTTAATTTTTCCCAAAACATGAATTGTTCTCCCTCAGGATGTAGAACATGACTGAAATTCAAATGCTGAATTTTTACTCTTCCTTCATCTAAAATGGGACAAAAACATGCATTAAACAGATAAAAGCATAAATGAAAAATCTTGTTCCCTTGTTAAATTGAGTTTCTTTGAATAACAAATGTTTGATGTTCCTGACTAGATAATGACTGGGTAATAATTATTCACTTGGATGCAAAAGAGTTTTAATTCAAATAATTCAGTTCAAAGTTTACTAATATATCCTACAAGAAAAAAAAAAGTGTTTCTCAGTGCACATACACACATATAAAAGTCTTTGATTTAATTCAGTTTTTATCGAAAAGCTGTTTCTTCAAGAGGTGAATTTGACTGATCTTTAAGACTCCAGGGAACATCCAGGGACTATGGGGACAGTTGGGTCTTCTGACCCATAAGACCCCACTGGATTCTTAAGGCAACAGAGCTCAGGATAGAAAGAGCTTACCTCTTGAAATATTTCATTATAGCTCTAAAGAAAGGTTACCTTTCTATTATGCTTTAAAAAAAAATACCCCCCTCCCCATATAGTCTTTATGAAAACACAAATGGAAGATATTTAAATTCATCTTTGATTAGACATTTTTTTCTAGGATGACAAGTCATTAACTTGAAGCAAAAAAAAATATTCAGCTTGACATTTCTTGCAGTCAGGGATTGATTTTGTACTGTGCTAAGCAAATCAGGTCTGTATTTGGCAGTTAGGCAATCATTAAGGAAGCTGTGGGTCATGACAGAGAGCTTTCTTCTTACCACGTTTTCAGGGTTGAAAAATGTGCCACTGCATTTGCAGAATTCACAGCCTAAATTAGCACTCTTAGACTCCCGCAGGAATCAGCCTGGTCACCCAGATGGTTAGGGGGAAACTGACCTTGTCTGACTCACCCGAAATTCAGCAGGGCCCAAGCACGCGTCTCAGCTGTGCATCCTATGTAGGGGGTTACACGTGCTTGTCACTAGAGGAGGCAGGAGTGGACTTTTCCACATTTCTTTCTGCCAACAAAACCCAATGTGAGCACCTTCTCCTGCACCTTGGATGTTATCTGGGGTCAGGAAGCAACTTAACACACCCCAATAGCAGTACGTACTTGCTCTTCCTCCACTTTCACACCTCCACCTTACTGGCCCTTCACGGGAGTCTGCTCTACCCACTGCCCTCTGCAGGGCCTCTAGAGAGCAATGGCCTTATAACCAGCTTTGAAAGACATCCCTCAAATATTGCAGACCTGAAGAGATGAAGTTGCTTTAATGTACAGAATGAAAACTACACAATCAAAATTAAATATTCAACCAAGTATCTACAAAATAGTATTGTTACTCTGTCAATTGCCACTCAACTCACCTTCATGGTGCATATCGACATTAAGTGTGAAATGTGGGTGCATTTCAGTGGGTTTGACTTGATGTGGTATCGAACACGTTGACCTACAAACTGCACCCGCTCCCGCAGAGCTGGCCCTGTGTTTCCCTTTCCAGAGCATCTTTTCTTGTCACTAAGTCTCCCTCTTCCTCTAGGACAGGTTCCACTGTCCCCGCCAGCCTGCACCTCTTATTTTTTTCCATCTTGTTTCTTCAGTTGACTCCCTTATTCTCCTGTAATCAACTAGCTTCTAGTCTCTAATATTTAGTAGAAGCCCATACATCATTTTTGTTTCTAAATGAGACTCCACCTATGTCTAAGGCCACATGGTCCTCCTTTTGCCCTCAGAATCCCAAATTCTTATGGCAGCAGGACCAAATAAGAACTGGAGGTCCCTCAGAATATCCAGGGTGATCTCAGGATGGAAAGCAACATGGCAACTTGGTCCTCACTATCATCCACCCCCACCCAAGGAACCTCTTTTCTATTATAGCTCCTGGACAAGGATAAGTCACACAGTCAGAGGTCAGGCCACTGGCTTGGGCAACATATAAATGGGGGCACATGAGTTCCTGCTCACAATGAGGTCACTGCTACAAATCCAAGGGCAGTGAGTGGGAGAGGGCAGGGAATATTTCTCAATTTTTTTCAGTTGTCCCCAGAGCTAAAGGAAATATATTGAGAAAGCAAATACTACAATCATGTTTTGTTTTTAATCTACACCTGGAAATTGCTAACCTATTTACAATTCATAGAATAAAGAGACCAAAGTATAACATTTTGTAACTTACAGGGTCAGAGGTGGTATCTGGACTCCATACATATTCAGTAATAGGCTTAAAATGTTAAGAGTACCAAAGCCCCGGGGGAAAGATCTTTATAACCTCCTCCAAGACCTAAAAGAAAAGGACATTCCCAATGTGAAGAAAGGCTATAAATAAAAACTAATAAGGAGAAGTAGCATTTATTCAACATTTACTGTGTTCCAGGCACAGTGTCAAAATATACTTTACCCCTTTGGATGAGACAGACACTTTGTTAATCCCTTGTTTAGGGATGAGGGACACAAACGCCCAGAGTTGCTTCTGTAAGGTCACGTGGCAGAGCTGGGTTTGAACCCAAGCTGTAGGCTACAAAAGCCTCTGTGGTCAGCCTTGGAAAGTGGGAGAGGAGATGTCGCACCTTCCCCAGACCTCTTCTCTGCCTAGAGCAACCAGAGAGGCTTGGTTCCCCTGGTCTTCTGCCACCGCGTCAATGCTATTGGTGCCTAGAAGCACATGGACAGCCCAAATAGCGCAGCTGGGGTATCAAGCATCAGCACATACCACGCTTTCCCAAGAGCACAGCCAGGTTGCCACCTGCCTTGGGAGAGTCCTTCTTTCATGACCCCAGAGTCCCCCATGCTAGTTTACACACTGGTTCATCTATGAAGCCAACTCATTCTTTTGCTATCCAGGTCTGTCCTAGAGAATCTCCTCTCTCTCTCTCTCTCTCTTTCTCTGCTCCTGCCAAGCAGCTAGTTGCTCCCTCTTCTGAGTTTTGACCTCATTTTAGGAAAGATGATTTGGGACCTTTTTTGATACCTCTCACCAGCAAGACATTTCTTAAAGGTATATTGTGTTATTCGTATTTTCATGTTTCTACCAGTTTCACTGTTCCTGGTTTTTACTTTTTTTCACTTTTAGTTCACTTATCAATGTTCATGTTACTTATTCAATAAATACTGGGAACCTACTGTGGACTAAGCACTCTCCTCAGTCCTGAGAAAACAGTGGTGAATAAAATAGCCAAATCTTGTTCTCTATTATGAATTACTAGATTGCCGAAAATGGTAGGACTTTCAGAATGCACACATATGGGATTGGTTCTGCATATTAAAAAAAAAAAAAAAGAAAATGTACAAATTTTAAAATGCCAAAAGTATGAAATATCAAAATAACAAAAATTATTCCAATGGTTTCCAAGATTGAGCTTTTCCAATTTGAGCTATAATGAAAATAGAGGTAATGTAACAGTATAATAACAAAATGTACGTACATGCATTTGAACCTTTTTCTGTTTGTTTGTTTTTGTTTTAGGGAACCAATCCACTGTACAGAGGCTCCACCAGTACTTTTAAAAATGTAACCTATAAACACAGGGAAAAACAAAAGGTGGATCTTTCCACAGATGGATAGAATGACTTTGGCCATGGAAAAATCTGTTTCACTGATATGAAATGTTAATGCACTACTTAATTTTTCTTTCTTTGTTGCTTCAAAATGAGGTTGGTTTAAGATCATAATAGGTCATTTGAAAATCAGTCACCCTCTATCTGAAGGTGAGAGACTATGTTGACAGTTCAAAACAATCAAGAAGAGGAATATCCTTAGCCAAGAAGTGACTTTGGGGATCGAATGAGGAATACTAACTCTGTTGTATTAATGCCTCAAAAAAATCATCAGAATGATTCATGGGGGCCTGATTTCCATTTGAAAAATGTTTGAAATTAGAATCTCATTTGCTTCAGGAACACAGCCACCCGAAGTCTTTGTCTCTGCAAAGTCACAAAGCCCATATGCTCACACTGTATATCCACACTCATCAATTATGTCTGAACTTGCAGTAAGTCTGCCATTTCACAAAGGAAGGTTTTTTTAAACTCTATGAGAAGTGAGATTCTGATTTTACTTCAACTAAGAGGATGCAGTTTTTCCAAAGATATCCCAAATGTAAGACTGAAAATGAATGGTTAATTTCTATACATTTGTATCCACCTAAAAGTCGAGCACCCCGGGAAGTAATTTTGTTTTACAGAGGAGGAAGAAGTAATTTATAAATTAATAAGTCACCTGTAAAAAACAAAGATGTCAACCCTATCATTTCATTTAACTTATTTTTAAATTACCTGAAAAATAATCTTCTACGCTCAGTTTCTGTCTTGACCCTGAGTTGTCTCCCATATTTCACAGTCTTCAAAACCCTGGAACTGTGACATAGACGTTTTCAATTCTTCTTTTAAAAGTTACTCTATGTGGTCACATAATCTCCACTAATATTAAGAGAACCTGGATTAAACAGAAAATGTTAAATGTCGTTAAATCACACACATCAAGAGTACACAAGTCCCTCATGGATTATAGGCTTTAGCACTAATCATCTTTCCCATCTGCTCAGCCCAACTTACACCTTTCAGCTGCATGCATGGACATGTATCATGTATTTACTTTGAGAATTATGTACAATTAGGGAGCCGTCTGTTGATTGGAGAAGTGGACTGCATAGAATATTCTTTCTCATGGTTCTGACTCCTTCACGAAGCACTTTTACCTCATTTGACCCTCAGAAGGAAACTAACGTTCAAAGAGTCGGTAGAACCGGGTTCAGAATCTAGATCTCCCAACTCCAAGCCATTTCCTCTTTTCACTGCACAAGAATGCCTCTTTTGTCAGTGAAATAATAAAAGATTGTGTCAGTTAACCAATAACTCTCATTTGTTTGAAAATGTACTGAGACTAAACAAGTAACATTTATATTACTGGAATATAGTACAATTTAGTCCAAGGTAATAACATTGCACAGAAGTACAGATGCGGGATTGCTCTTCCAGGCAATGTTTATTACCTTTGATAAAATTGTAAAGCCTTTCCCTAGGTGAACAGATCACAGCGGTGGAGGCTTTGTGATTGTCCGTTGAAGCGTCAGCATAATCTACAAATTTCTTCAATTCTACCAGATAGGTCTGTGTACATTTGATCACTTGGAGACTTCTTTTTTTTCTTCTGGTTTCTAAATAACTCAGGTATATCAGACATTTAGGGAGTACATGGCTGTATGAAAAGAATTACTAAACAATCACCTTGAAAATCTGAAAGGCTGCTGTTCTCCTCACGTCCTTGATTGATGCCCAGAACCCAAAGAAATTCTACAGCAACCTGCTAGTTGCAATGCTGATGACACCCCAGTACTATTTCCTCTACATGGACTTATGATGGTATTTTTTATATTATTACTAAAATGGGATTTTAGAAGATAGAAGTTTCTTTTGAGTGTGTTTTAGGGAAGGTGGAAAAGAATCTACTCTTTCTCTGAATACTGTTTTGACCCAAGGCAGGACCTTGAAAAGGCCAAAACATTCACAGTAGTCCTTCTGTTCACTGAAGAGTTATGTTACATGAAGATAAAATGGGTTTTTGTAAGTTGTGCTATTGCATTTTGTGTTGATATAAATAAACATGGTAATTTAAACAATGAACCTTAGATGGATGATAATTCCCTTTTATTTACTTGGTACAAAACCCTCTTCTTGGATTTCTGGGTGCCTCTGTAACCTGCTCTGACTGCCTTGCTGGTCTCAGTCTGGGGCCAAGGAAACAGGAAGAGAAAGCCAGAGTAGATAGCACGGCATGGGATGTAATTCAATGCCCGGTTTCAAGACTTACATCATGAGCCTTTTAAAACAGGCCTGGACATTACCCCGCCTTTTAAAAAATCAAGTTCCTGGGCTGGGGGCGGTGGCTCATGCCTGTAGTCCTAGCACTCTGGGAGGCCGAGGTGGGTGGATTGCTGGAGTTCATGGGTTTGAGACCAGGCTGAGCTGGATCAAGGCCCTATCTCTAAAAATAGCCAGGTGTTGTGGCGGGTGCCTGTAGTCTCAGCTACTCAGAAGGCTGAGGCAAGAGAATCACTTGAGCCCAGGAATTTGAGGTTGGTGTGACCTGTTGCGTCATGGCATTCTGCCAAAGGTGACAAAGTGAGACTCTGTCTCAAAAAATAAATAAATAAATAAATAATCAAGTCCTTTATGGTTAGTGTTAAATGTTTCCCTTTCCACATCCCTCCCCCAAATTCACCTATTAAAGTCTTAATCCCGAGTATCCTAGAACGTGACTGTATGATTGGAGATAGGCTTTTCAAACAGGTAAATTTAAACAAGGTTGTGGGGTTGGGCCCCAATCTACTATGACTGGCCTTTGTATAAGAAGAGATTAGGACAAAGACACTGGGAAGAATCAGTGAAGACACAGGGAGATGGCTATCTGCAAACCAAGGACAGGGGCTACAGAAGAAACCAACCCCGCTGACACTTTGATCTTGGACTTCCCGCTTCCAGGACTGTGAGAAAATAAATCTCTGTTGTGGAAGCCCCATGGTCTGTGATGCTCTGTTATGGGAGCCTGAGCACACTCATATAGCCCGGTAGTACTTACTATTTTCCTGGGTATCCATTCCGTAGATTCCATGGTCCCATGCTCATTTTCTAAATCAGGAAAATTAAGCACAGCGAGACCCAATGCTCACACAAGAATCAGCTTAGCTCTTTTCTCAGAAAAGCCCATTCCTTACCAAAAAGACAGGCAAAGTCAAGATAAGAGTGTTTATATTCTGAAACACACTGTTTCTTATAGACTAGAGGCCCCAAGTTTGGAAATCCAGAACTGGTCCCATTTTGAATGGCACTAAAGAAACCATAAGCTTCCCATCGGTAAAATGGGTGGCAATGCCTGTCTCTTCTAGCAGCTACAGCAATCCTTGGCACGTAATAGGGAATGAAAAAATTAATTCAACAAATATTTACTGAATACCTACTATATGACAGACACTGTGATTGTGAACAATGAACAAAACAAGCAATCTCCATGCTTTTAAATGGAGGAGAAAATAATAAAGAAATAAATCTATAATATCAGGGTACTAGACCCAGTTTATGCACTTGGTCCCACCTGCCTCCCAGGCCTATGCCAGGGTCACCCTAAATACCAACTTACAGAGTCTCCTTGGTATAATAAAAAGCTCCAGCTTCCACCTCACTGCTCATAGCTCGAGGAGATACAGCAATTCCTGTGCCCAAGACCAGAGTAGTTTTCCCAGCTGCTGCCCCCAGGGACCATGACACAACAGGGATGTGCAGAACGTAGATCCATGAGAAGGAAAGGAACTCCCAGATGAACTAGAACTGAGCTACCAGTGATGCTTTCAAGGGGAAGCCATAGCCAACTTCCTAAAACATCGCCGTGTGTTTGCTTTCCCTGGCATGGCACCTCCCAACAGAGTGTTAGCACATAACTTTGCTTTGGGTTCTGGTGTTACAGGGTATCTGGGCTGAGCCTGTCCAGCAATCCTGAGAGCTATGCAGAACATAAAACAGGACAAAAAGCTGCCTGATGCCCCCTGAGCGTGTGCCCTCAGGTACAGCTGTAACTTTTGAGCAGAAAACTGCCCAAGATGGGGACTAAGCAAGTATAAAGTCCCTAAGAAGGCAATATGGTCACATTTAAGAAAGAGGAAGAAGGTCATTAGGGGAGGGAAAGAAATATTTAAATGAATATTTCTTTGAATTGGATGGTTTAACTAAGGCATCAAAACGAAGAAATGGTTTTAAATTTCTGTGAAAAAAACCTTTGCAATTTCCAGTCCCATTGCTTGGTGATGGCACTCACAGGAGCACAGTTTGAATGAATTGCCAAGTAGGTGCTGGAAAATATCTCAGTGATTTTATCTGGACACGGTGCTTACCACATAAGGTGGCCTGATCCCTAGTCACTCTTGCACCAAGTAATTGATTATCAAAGGTTATGTGACAGCCTCAAACAATATTAATGCATGAGTATTCACAGCCTTTTCTTCTTTCTTTTATTTCTAGAAAATAAAGTTTCATGGGTTCTTTTTATCGGGGGGTGGGGGAGGAGAGTTGCTTTGGTCATAACAACTCCCAGATGCTCTTTTAGTATAAAGAATCTGAGTAATAAAGAAATTTTTTTTTTTTTTTTTTTTTTTTTTTGCAGTTCTTGGCCAGGGCTGGGTTCGAACCCACCGCCTCTGGCATATGAGGCCAGTGCCCTACTCCTTGAGCCACAGGCACCACCCATAAGAACTTTTAAAAGAGGAATTCAAGGCTAAGCTGAAAGGAATAGTATAGCACCAGACCAATAAAGAGAGGGAACAGAAAGAGCTTACCTGGCTGGATTTGGGGGTGTGCATGGGAAGTTTGGGAAGAGGAAGAGAAAAGTCTTTGGGGTAGCAACTACATAAGTAATATCAAGAATGAGATATATGGGATTGGAGGTGGTTGGTTGTTCATTTTAAATGTCCTCACCCTGTGGACCACAGCCTACAGGGTCTAGCTTCAAGACAAGGTCCAGAAGGTCCGGAGCTATGGGCCATTGTGAGGGTCCAAGTGGTAGCTTCCATCTGGTCAGACCACTCAATACCAGAAACGCTTGTTTCCAGAAATACTCCTGTGAAACCTCTCAAATAACACATCAGATCTCTCATCCTCCCAAAGTAACCAAGAGTCCTCCAATTTCCTTTCTCTCCTTCCTCCCAGTTCTCCTTAAAGGCACATTGCACTAGAGAAGCAATCCCACCAATGGTATGCTTTAACTGCAAGACAAAGTTGGCCTTTAAAAAGATAGCTTTGATGTATTTGATGTTTCAGAAAGACTTTGTATTATTCTCGTTTTGCAGAAATCTAAATAAAAATAAATCCTTATTCAGAGAGAACAAAAAAAGGGATTGAATTCAATGAGATAAGTGGAAATTCTCCATTTTCCTCAATTTTATTATACTGCAACAGACTCAAGCCAACACAGCTAAAAAGAAGGAAAACTTGTATTTTTTTAAAATTAAATCATAGTTCAGTG